AGGATGCGCCGCCTGGAGCTTCGGAGGGATGGTGAAACCCGCTCTCTTGACTTTGGCCGCGATCCACTTAGCATCCTGGCGATGCGTGCCAATGACCACGGACTTCGGGGGCACAGCTAGCTTCTCGGCGCGAAGCTCAGTGGAGGTGTCGATGATGTAGGACGCGAGCTGCCGCCGCACTGCCGACCTCGACCCCCGCGCACCCTGCGAGCGATCATCAACCCAGATGCGGCGGCTCGCCCGAGGGTGAGCCACCGCAATTGCAGACAGCACGCGGCGCGTCATGGCCTCGCCGAAACGCGCGCCAGAGCGCAGCCCTTGCACCACGCTGCGCGTCGGCTGAAAAGCCCGCGACGCGGCGCCCAGTTGGCCCACCGCGCGCGGTGCCACGCACTGCAGCAGCTCCAGGCACAATACTGTCGGTGGAAAAGACAAGCGAACATAACACACGTCCAGGCCACTCGATGGAATCGTAGAAGGACTTAATGTCCACGAGACCTTCGCCGAACGCGATGCCCAAGTGGTGCAGAACCTCCTGCTGGATGGCCAGCACGAAGGCCTCGCGCAGACTGGAGTTCCCACGGACTGCAACGTCCCAAAAAACCTCCGTGTCACTGGCCCATTGGCGCCCCAGCGGTTCGCGGATCAGGCTCCACAAACGTCCTATCATGGACACCTGCCCGATGATGCGGTCGCCCGTGCTCTTCTTGGGCAGCATGCGCCCCACGATCAGGAGGACCTGAGCAGGCCATACGAGGTGATGCTCGCATGCCTCGAACAACATCGCCAGCTCGGCCAGCGCCGCGTCGGGGAGACGCTCGAAGTCCCCTGGCGAGAGCATATCAATGCCAAGCCCTGCTCGGGGACGCATCTGCCGCAATGCTCCTCGAATGTCACTGACTGAGATAGGCGGCAGCAGATCGTTTTGGGCAGCCTCTCGGACTTGCTGAAAAATTCGCTGCACCAACTCCTCATCCATCTGCTGAGGGGCCCAAAGGTCGTGCCAGGACGCCGCCTTGATATCTATACTGTCTTTGGGGTGGTAAAGGACCTCCCCGGTATGCTCAAGCTCCTGTGCTGGAAGGTTCTACGGTTCCAACGAACGATGAAGCGTCCCGATCGAGTCCGTCGCACCCATGAAATCCCGAAGTTCACGTATCGACTCTGTTACCGCACGTCGCTGCGCACGGCCCATCACCCTCTTTGAACAGAAAAACGTATTGCTCAAGCTCCTTCAACGAGACGTATCCAGCTGCCCGAACAACCCGCTGCCGTTCTGCCCATGGAGGGTCCTTGTCAAGAATAAGAGCAAGCTGAATGTCTTCTGGCCGAGTATCCAGATGACGAACACATGCTGCAGTAGACTAAGCTACCTGCCGTGGGCCGTTACGCTTGTCCCGATGCAGATGTAGCGCCGAGAGTAGTGTGTGCAACTGAATCCACCAGCCGCTGACCTGATCCCGCATGGCTGCCACGCGAGCCTTGCCAGGCATCTCGACCGTGGTGACCTTGAAACGCGGTCCCTCAGCCCTGCGCGGGCCTGGTGGAATCGCAACTCCATGATGCGCAGTGATGCTGGATTCGACAGCTGACACCCAAGAGGCGTCAAGACCTGATGTAGTAGAAACGACATCTGACTTGAGCCTATCAGCTACGGAGTGACGCAGAGCAGGAGCAAGGGACTGAAGCGAGTACGCACCAGGTGTGAACCCGACCTCTCTCCGACACCGCTCCCACAGCTCCGGAGGAAATGCATAAGTCGGGGCTCCTCCAGAGACTTCTACATCAGGGTCCGGGGTCAGGTCTCCAACCCTCTGGGGATCCAGGGTCTGCGCCTGAGATGAGCCAAAGGTTGGAGCAGCGGCCGAGCTCGGCGGCACAACCCTCACTCCTCGGCTACCCCACACGAGCTATCCCCAGACTCCCAGGACCTAGACTTAGGTTCAAAGCCGGGGGAATTATGAACAAAACAATCGAAACATACCTGAGGGCCCTCGGGAGGCTGGGGAACAAAATTGGAGGGTCGCGAGGGAGGGGGGCCGAGCCGTAGGTGAACAGGCCTCCCTGACAGTGGGATTCGGGGGGGGTAGGGCGAGCCACGCTGTCTGGCACCGAGCGTGAGAGGAGGGAGGGGGAGGAGACGAGGGAGGGAAAGAAGGAGGAAGGAGGAAGGGGAGGAGGAGGAGGAGGAGGAGGAGGAGGAGGACCAGTAAACCCAAGAGCCACCAACGATGGTGGAATAAACCCTCCCCCCAAGCTCCCTCTTCATAGGCCCCGACAACGGTTCATTTTCACAGGAGGACCTGCCTCGTTGGAAGACAACCGTTTGAAGACCCTGAAGCATGCCAAAGCATTATTCTCGGCATTCCAACGCCACGGAAGAACCTGACTGTTGCGTCTTGACGATCCTGAATCGAGCCAGAACGCCATTCCTGGGACCTCCACTCCGCGAATCATCCTAACTGTTGCGCCCTCCTTCCAAAGCGCTATTTCTGGTACGTCGATCATGGGAAACCACGAAACTCTTGCAATGTTGTATCCAGAACGTGCGCAACGCTAAGGCGAGAGCCACATTTTGCAAAGGAGCCGCCCTCCATCCGTGAAACTCTTGCAAAGGTGTAAAAAGAATGCGCGCGGCGCTGAGGCGAGAGCCACATTTTGAAAGCGACCCACCCTCAATCCGGGAAACCCTTGCACTTTTTGTTTAAACGAATGCGCGCGGCGCTAAGGCGAGAGCCACATTTTGAAAACGACCCGCCCTCAATCCGGGAAACCCTTGCGAATTCTGAGAGAACAAGAAGCCCCATTTTGAAAACGGCCCGCCATCAATCCGGGAAACCCTTGCATTTTTTGTGTGAACGAATGCGCGCGGCGCTAAGGCGAGGGCCTCATTTTGAAAACGACCCGCCCTCCATGTGTGACACCCTTGCAAACTCTGAGAGAACAAAAAAATGCGCAAGGCGCGAAGGCGAGAGCCACATTTTGAAAACGACCCGCCCTCAATCCGGGAAACCCTTGCATCTTTGTTTCAACGAATGCGCGCGGCGCTAAGGCGAAAGCCACATTTTGAAAACGACCCGCCCTCAATCCGGGAAACCCTTGCGAATTCTGAGAGAACAAACAAAAAATGCGCAAGGCGCGAAGGCGAGAGCCACATTTTGAAAACGACCCGCCCTCACTCCGTGAAGCTCTTGCATCTTTTTTTTAAACGAATGTGCACGGCGCTAAGGCGAGAGTCACATTTTGGAAACGACCCGCCCTCAATCCGGGAAACCCTTGCGAATTCTGAGAGAACAAACAAAAAAATGCGCAAGGCGCGAAGGCGAGAGCCACATTTTGAAAACGGCCCGCCCTCAATCCGTGAATGTCTTGCAATTTTGTTTAAACGAATGTGCGCGGCGCTAAGACGAGAACCACATTTTGAAGACGGCCCGCCCTCAATCCGTGAAACCCTTGCGAATTCTGAGTGGACAAAAACAAAGAATGCGCGCGGCTGCGCCACATTTTGAAAACGACCCGCCCTCAATCCGGGAAACCCTTGCGAATTCTGAGAGAACAAACAAAAAAATGCGCAAGGCGCGAGGGCGAGAGCCACATTTTGAAAACGACCCGCCCTCAATCCGTGAAGCTCTTGCAACTTTTGTATAAACGAATGTGCGCGGCGCTAAGGCGAGAGCCACATTTTGAAAACGACCCGCCCTCAATCCGGAAAACCCTTGCGAATTCTGAGAGAACAAAAAAATGCGCAAGGCGCGAAGGCGAGAGCCACATTTTGAAAACGACCCGCCCTCAATCCGTGAAGTTCTTGCAATTTTTGTTCAAACGAATGTGCGCGGCGCTAAAGCGAGAGCCACATTTTGAAAACGACCCGCCCTCAATACGGGAAACCCTTGCGAATTCTGAGAGAACAAAAAATGCGCAAGGCGCGAAGGCGAGAGCCACATTTTGAAAACGACCCGCCCTCAATCCGTGAAGTTCTTGCAACTTTTGTTTAAACGAATGTGCGCGGCGCTGAGGCGAAGGCCACATTTTGAAAACGACCCGCCCTCAATACGGGAAACCCTTGCGAATTCTGAGAGAACACAAAAATGCGCAAGGCGCGAAGGCGAGAGCCACATCTTGGAAACCACCCGCCCTCAATCCGGGAAGCCCTTGCGAATTCTGGGAGAAAAACAAAAATGCACAAGGCGCGAAGGCGAGAGCCACATTTTGAAAACGACCCGCCCTCAATCCGTCAAGCTCTTGCATCTTCTGTTTAAACAAATGTGCGCGGCGCTGAGGCGAAGGCCACATTTTGAAACCGACCCGCCCTCAATCCGTGAAACCCTTGCGAATTCTGAGAGAACAAAAAAATGTGCGCGGCGCGAAGGCGAGAGCCACATTTTGAAAACGGCCCGCCCTCAATCTGGGAAACCCTTGCGAATTTTGAAAGAAAAACAAAAATGCGCGCGGCGCGAAGGCGAGAGCCACATTTTGAAAACGGTCCGCCATCAATCCGTGAAGCTCTTACAACTTTGGTTTAAACGAATGTGCGCGGCGCTAAGGCGAGAGCCACATTTTGAAAACGACCCGCCCTCAATCCGGGAAACCCTTGGATTTTTGTAAAAGAATGCGCGCGGCGCTGAGTCGAGAACCACATTTTGCAAACGACCCGCCTTCAATCCGTGAAACCCTTGCAAATATTTAATGCGAGTGCGCGCGGCGCTGGAGCGAGAGCCACATTTTGAAAACCACCCGCCCTCAATGTGTGAAACTGTTGCCAATGTCTACGTTTCAGGGTCATAAGTGGTGAGGAAGTCTCAAGCGAAACGCCCGGCCCGCCCTAAAAATTGGATTAGGGTGCGACAGGAAACAATTATTTACAAGGAGAAAGAGTGGAGGAGGAGGAGGAGGAGGAGGAGGAGGAGGAGGAGGAGGAGGAGGAGGAGGAGGGGGGGGAAGGGGGGGGATGGGAGGGACGGAGGGGGAGAGAAAGAGGAAGGAAGGGGGGAGCTGGCCGCCCCCCTCCTGGATCATCTCGTTGACCAAGCGCTCCGCCGCCATCCGGCCAGTGGGGCTGACCTGCACTAGCGGATCGGTCGGCGGGGGGGAAGAGGGGGCGCAGCGCGCCCCTGGGCAGGAGAGAAGACAGAGCGAAGAGGAAGAGGATATGAAGAGGAGGAAGAGGAAGAGGAAGAGGAAGAGGAAGAGGAAGAGGAAGAGGAGAGGGGGGAGGAGGAGGAGGAGGAGGAGGTGCGGAGGAAGAGAGGATGTGCGGAGGAGAGAAGGTGAAAAGAACGAGGCGGAGAAAGGAGGAGGACGGCGACGAAAACGAGGGTGAGCAACAAGAAGACACTGGAGGCGGCGGAGGGGGAGGGCGAGGTCGAGACGAGGAGGGTGATCCGCGCCGTACCGCAAGTGAGAGGGGATGGCGGGGAGGATCACAGGAAGGAGGACTGCGAGCGGAGGAGTCTCTACGCCGAAGTGCAGGATGCGGAGTATGTGAGGGAGGTCGGAGACGAGAGACGAGAAGAACGCCGTGTTCGCGCGCTGTCTGCTGGGGGACCCACCCGTGCCCGTTGGGGCATGGCATGCACGCCGCAGCCTCGGCAGAGCATGCGGGAACGTGACCAACAGGCCAGCTGGTCGCTCACTAGGCGAACTCGTGGGAGGCGAGAAGGATGAGGACGTGGGAGAGGACCAGAGGTAGTCCTACGGGCAAGGCCCAGGGTAGCCCTAGGGATCGGCCCCGGGGCAGGCCTACGGGGTAGGCTCTAGGGCAAACGCATAGTAGGCCTAGGGGTAGGCCTGGGGCAAGCCGCGCGGATGACTGCGTCCAGCCTCTGCGGAGTGCCAGCCTTCGTGGGAGTCTCCGGGGTTGTGTCGAGGCCCCCGCACAGCACCCATGGCACTGTCAGCGCCGCGAGTAGAACTCCGACTCGCCCGAAACATCCAGCGCATCTAAATGTTCCTAGCCGCGCATCTGGATGGCGGGGTGCCCGTAAAATACAATGAACACGAAAGAAATTTGCGAGATCGAGCAGCCTTGAGATAAACCAGTCGAAGCCGCTTCGGCGCGGGCCCTGCAGGCACTTTGCTGACGCGAAGGCCCCCATCGAGCTTCCGAGCTTGAAGGCAGGCCTGCGCCTGGGAAAACGCAACCCCATTCGCTGGGACGAGCAGTCTTAGCACGCGAAGCTACTTTGCTTGAAGCGCGCGAAGCATTGCGTTGAAGTCGAAGACGCAATCGACGACGCCCCATCCAAATCACTGATCTCCGATTTTAAGTGAACAGAGTCTCTGCCAGGGCAATGACAGAGTAAGCTCTGGATTCGGATTCAAAGCGCTTCCACGCTCTGCCCCTCCCCGACAGACTCGAGACATTGACATGGAAGACCCGAATCATATCATCCGCCGCCTGCCCTCAGCTCGCAGGGGCCGAGGTCCTGCTGGAGATAATCATTCTGGCGCGGCCGCGTCGCATGCACCTTCATCCGCGGACCTTCGCCCTCAAACTTGGACTGCAACCTGGCAAACTCGAACTTGGCTGCTGGCGGCCGCCGCGCCTCCTTGTGGATATCATCGCCAAGGGTGGCGGGGCCGTCAGCGGCTCCTGCCGGCGGCGCGACATCTCCACCCAGCGCCGGGCCGGCTGCGGCCCCTGCCGACAGCGGCGCGGTGCCCCCCGACGGCGCGCCCGACGTGCAGGACTTCCCCTTCTTGGCCACCCTCTGCTCGATGGCCTGGCGATTCTTCTGCGCGTCCGCGGACCAGGTCTGAATCTCCGACTCCGCGGATGCGAGGTACTCCTTGACCCATTGAAGTTGACAGCGCAGCCCCTCCAAGGCTGCATTCTCCGCGGCCGCACAATCGAGCACTTCGAGGTTGCTGGAAAATCGCCCCGTTGGACGTTGATCACCACCTTCTGCTCGGCGATGTTGGCGTCGTTCTTGCCATCCGAAGCGCTCTCAGCGACGGCAGCTGCCGCGGCCGCCTGCTTCCGCACGCCGTTGACCTGCGCCGGAGCAACTGCCGCTGCCTCTTTCTCGGCCTGCGCGGCTGCCTGATTGCCCTGCAGACGAAGCGCAGCAGCATCACCGCGGTCGCGCACGTGCTCACGTCAGCACGGTCGCGCGCGCGCTCAGCGCCGCGCTCGGCGCCGCCCGCCCGACGGCGCACCTCAGAAACCTTGCCCTATGAGGCGGGCGTCGTGGCCCGGGCGGCGTGTTTGTCGCGGTGGGTTCTGGCTCTTCTTCAACTCTGGGACCGCCGCGGCGGCCACGGCCCGGCGGGCGCGGCGCCGCGCCGCGCCCTCTGCTCCCCCTGCCGCCGCCGCGGCCAGGAGTCGAAGCCCGACGCAACATGCCGGGCGGTAGCAGCTGCCCCAGCCCCGCTGTTGACCCGACCAACGCCTCGGCGTCGCTGTCCGCATCGCAGAAAGCGCCGCGGCCCACCCCCCGCTCGAACCGAACGCGGCGAAGCTGGGAGAGTTCACCTCGCCGACGGCACCCACTGCACATCGAATTCTGACGACGAAGGACGGCGCCCCACTCGTTGCAGTCGGCGCACCTTGCCCAAAGCTTCCGGGCGCCAGCCGCGACTGAGACGGAGACTGAAGCGAAGAGAACTGAGACTGCTGTGAGACTGACATCCCACGAATTAGTCGGCGCGCGTTCTCGACTGACGCGCGAGAACGAACGAGGCCCCTCTAGCGCCCCTCGGAACCCACAAGTCGGCCCCAAGCCCAAATGGCTCGAGCCACAATGGCCGCGGAGGAGGAGGCGGAAGAGGAGGGGGGGCACGGGGAAGAGGAAAGGAGGGGGGAGGGGGAGGGGTCTTGTCCGGAATGGGTCTTGTCCGACATGGTCATCTCCGAAATGCAATGCTCATTGGTCTTCTCTACTCCGGAATGCGATTTTCACGTCGAACTCGCGCCAGGCCCGGCCCCAGCCGCGCCGCCCAAGTCGAGCGCGAAGGGCCAGCGCCACGCGCGCGCCAGGCTCTGCGACAACGAGAAGGGGAGCGGCGGCGCGGAAACGACGGGCCCGGGCGACACCCCCCCAGCCCCGCAGCGCCGCATGGCGGCGAGCGCGCCGGCGCTGAGGGGGGATCGAAACTGTTTATCGGGTTCCACTGACGTAGAAACAAATTGCCCCAAGCGGGCTCGCACCCGAAATTGCAGCGGGCGAAACCACGAGGACTCTGCATAAGCGGGGAGAGAGAGAGAGAGAGAGAGAGAGAGAGAGAGAGAGAGAGAGAGAGAGAAAGAAAAAAAAAAAAAAAAAAAAAAAAAAAGAGAGAGAGAGAGAGAGAGAGAGAGAGAGAGAAAGAGAAAGAAAGAGAGGGAAAGAGAGAGAGAGAGAGGGCGGGGCAGAACAGGGGCACGGGACTAATCTGACGCCAAGCCTCATACACGAGCAAGAAACGCGCGTTGTTCGTCGCGGACCTCACATCCTTGCAGGTCCGAGCCCACCACAGCAGCAAATCGCAGTCTCGCCAGAAAGCAAGTTGCATGAATGAAAGTCGAAGAAAAGAAATATGCGCCGTCTGCAGCCAGCGTCGCGCAAATAACATTGCCACCGAAAGCGGGCTCGTCAGCCCATCGGGGCACCGTCTTCCGAGGGCGTGGAAAAAGGGGAGCAAGCACGCGTGAATGATACCTCGGAAGTACGCGATGCGCCGCGGCCTCGGCACTGCAATGCACCGGGGAGGAAACAGGAGGTAGGAAAGAGAGGACCTGCACACAAGCTCAAGGCGCCAAAGCGCAAGGGAGAAACGCACCCTTCTGAGCCAGCCCCCTCTCCCGCGCCTCCCAACGCCCACGCGCAACGCGCCTCGCTGTCTTGACCATTTACTCTCTGCATTCGATGCTTGCGTCCTTCGAGCCATCGCTTCTCGAAGATGGTCGGTCGGCATATCCTTGGTCAAAACGTCACTCAACATGTTCGTGCCGTCGGTCAACCGCGCCACTCTGCGGCCGATCCAGGATCTCCCGAATGCTGGCGAGCTCGAGGTTCACTGACGTCTGCGCTGAGCTTCCCACGCCATCGTCCGACATGCGCCTGTCGCGACAATCCTTCGACTCCGAGACAACCGCCACCGGGATCTTCCAGCCTGAGAATCTCACCCCAACACCTCGCGCCTCTGGGACGTAAAGCATCTTCACGATCTGGTCGCGCATACCCTGAGACGCATCCACTGCGTCTCCAACTGCAATCACCTCCGCCGCGCGGGAGCTCCTCGGCGCACGCTTCAGCTCGCGGCCCCCGCCCTCCAGGAGCGAAAACCTGCCAGCGCCGCCGCCCACGAGCTCCTCATCCACAAACATGATCAGATAGCCGCCCGGCGCCCCCATTGTCTCCGAGGTCAGGTCCGACTGCAAAGCCGCGCCCTCGCTCATCGCGCTGCCGCGCGAGCTATCAGACGCCACCACTAGACCGAACCGCTTCCTGTCAATAAACCGCATCACAGGCTTGAAAATGGAGCCCCTCTTCAGATGCCCGTAAACCTTGGTTCGCCTTGATCAGGGGCGCGATCCTCGGGCCCTTCTTCCAACCCTTCTCGCGCTGCAAAACCGCCCGCTCGCCCGCGCGGTCCAGGCGTGGCTTCGTCCCGCGCCAGCTGGTGTCCCGCTCGACTAGCCGGCGCTGCTTCCACTCCAAGGCATTCGTCGGCGTGTGTAGGACAGCCCACCTGATCTTCGGAACCGCGACTGGCTCTAGTCCAGCCGCGCACTCGATCACGTCGAAGGGGGGGGCCCCAAGCATTTCCATGAGATACCCCGCCGCGGAACACGAAATCGCCATGCCCCTCCGAGCCGACGCCAAACCCCCGACCCAGGGCGCCCATCACCTCGGACATCTGCCCGTTCCTGGTCCAGCTGCAATCGCCCACGTGAACGCACGCGCAACCCGACAAACTATCCAAATTCCACTCCTTCACTATGGGATCGTGGGACACCGCGACGGCCGGGTCAGATCGCGAGGCCCTCAAACCGAGCTTGCGAGCAGCTGCCACCACATTCAAGTACCAATGCCTCGGCGCGGTAGGAAGACCGAACATCCCCGCGCGAACTTTCGCAA